AACTCTTGCCTGCTGACTTTGTCAAATGAGTCAGTAAAGGCCAGTGGAACAGATTTCGATCATCAAATGTCAGAGTAAATGCAAAGTAATTGCACTAAAGCTTAGTCAAGTGTAGAAACAACTTTTAATATCAGAATTTGTGGCATGCAAGCAAAGATAATGTTTTGACATTAGTGCATTTGTTGTCAATACTCATTCCCTAGTTAACCCACACAAGGTCAGTATTGCAAAATTAAACCTCTTCATATATCACTATTCTTTTCAGTTGTCATCATCCTACTTTTTTCAAATTCCAGACTATAAATAATGGCTTCCCAGACATCATTCAGCAAAGTCCACCAGAGGCAAAGTTTCTGAGGCATAACTACTCTACACTGGAGCATAGTATTTTATGAGATTATTTATTTTAGGTTGTTTTTTAGGTTGGGACATGCTGTATGGGATAGAAAGGGTTGACTTGCTGCACTGGTAATTTCTGGCAGAGGATTTTGAAAGACTGATCTAGCCAAGTACTCAAGACTGGAATAAGAGAAGAAGATAGGACTGTGAGAAATAGATGCAGGATCATGACAAAGGTTATGAGGAACAAAAAAAGATTACAATAGGTGGCAGGCACAGCTCTTCCTATCTTCTCTCTAACCTCGATCTTAACACATCTCCTCAGCCTTTCTTTAGGAAGATCATATCCAAGAAAGAAAGGAGAAGCACACTTCTACAGGAAAGAATGAACTTGTTCCCAGAACATGTGAAGTACATGTTCTAGGACTACTTTCTATGTCAACTTCTTCCTTAGTTTCTATTAATGGCTGTATACATATGGATAAGTAATTATCCCAAAATGCATATTTGCTAGTCTTTTAACCTTCTCAAATTTGGTTTTGAGAATATAGGCAGATTGGATTGCAACCAGCCTCTCCTTTATCCCTCTCCTCCTGAATATAGGCACAATTTTTTGGTATATTTTCTTTATGGCTAATAGTTCCAATTGTGGCTGTCTATGGTTGCTTTCAAACCACAGATACCACAACACAGTAAAATGTGCTCACTCTTCATTGTCTCTAGCCTGCTGTCACTAAACACAGGTACCACTTACGCAACCTGGTTTTGTTGGGTGCATTTAAATTTTAAATCTGGCCCTCCTTATTCATCCCAGCCTTCACACTTACAGGGTTTTCTCTTTCTCCCCTCTAGGGCCACTGAGGTT